GGGGGGGGGTTCTACAATACACCCTTTATAATGCATCAAAACACAGTTAACAGAACATGTATATACTGATGCAACACAAAAATGTGCTCACTTCTCTTTCTTTTCTTTGCATACCGTTTCCTTACACTTGTACGTTAGTCCCTCCATCACACAAGTACAAGCGCACGAAAAGAAAGAAAAATCGTTCAAAATTTAAATTGGAAAAACTGGCATGCTGTGAAAAGCACAGATATGCTGCTGGGGCACAAAAGCACTGTTTCAAAAACATTTTGTTGCTTTAATGATGTGAAAACACAGGTCTCCCTGCAAGTTACATCACCGAAGTGTGGAAACAGCCAATGCTGCTCCCTCTCTCCACGCTGCAAAAAGTGTCCATCCTAACCATCTTACCCAAAACTAAAAATGAAAAGTAACAAACACTTTGGGGAGTCCTATATTTTACTGTAAATAAACTTGGTCTTTTTTTCAGGTGGTTGAATGTCATATACACTAAAAAAAAAAAAGAAAAAGAAAAATCTACCCAAAATGCTGATTTTAACTAATAATGTAAAATGTCCACGTAATTTTGTTAGGTACAATAGGTACAATGTGAAATGTAATTTTACATTCAGGTTAAAGATTAAGTATGTAAATAAATTAATCTTTGAATATAGCGACATGTATACTCAAAAAAGGAAAAAAATATTCAAATTAAAAAACTAAAATTAACTGAGGGTGATTTTTTTTTCTTTTTTGAGTATACATGTCGCTATGAGCAGCAAGACGAAAACAACATATTGGAGATGGGCATTTTTTACAGCGTGGGACGCTCCGTGCCAAAAGCGCAGGCAGCGCGCAGGCAGCCTCCAGATCACACAGTTGGATAGATGGGTATCACCAGCATGTGATCAGGCTGCCGATTGCATACGAACTGCCTCATACATCTGACAGACAAAGAAAATAATGAAACCTGAGACACTCGATCCGTCGCTCCACCTGGACTGTCGACTAACTGGAGTGACTTCATGAATCTGATGGGAGGGATGGGAGGGATGATGAATCCGGAGGTATTTTTCTGCCTAAACCGCCAACTTTCACTCCTGCTCTTCTTCTTCTCCCACTACTCATCCTCTGTGTGTCTTTAAAGCGCAACAGCATGCAGGTCTCCCCGAGTGAAGACAAGATCCCAGTAAGTACAACGACAGCCTCCCCGCACGCCGCTTCTCTTGGTCTTCTGGTCGTGGTCTGGAGTTAGTTTTTACTACACCTCAGTGTTCGTGACATATTTACGACTCTCTATGGTAGTTTTCATATTCGTTTTACATTTGGTGACATTGCCGAAAGCTCGGCTTTAATTTTTGATTTGAAGTGTTTCTCCATCTACTATATTTACTTGGAACCTATAATTAGTTAATTTGTCCATGGGGCTACAAGAAACGTAAGACGACGCTTTCGATTATACGTGAGAACATCATAATTGGCTATCATATACCACTTTATGATGAGCAGACAGGTGAGGCTCAGTAAAAGGTTTGGCAACCTCCAGGGAAGGTCTTCCCAGGAGTTTTCATTAAGCTCTTAACAGAACAACAACTACCGGGGGATTCTTGGTACTGGTTAAACTAAAGCAACTAAAAATCCCTGCACACCTGTCTCTCTCGCTCTGTTATGTGTGAGCAAACACAAGCACTATAGTGAAGCTCCAGGAGCGTGACTGTAGCAGCGTTTGTGTCCTGCAGAGTAGTGCAGACAATATGTATTGTTGTGCGGTTATGCAGTCAAAATAATTAGAGCTTTCGTAAGTAATTTGAGTAATAGTCTATAGACTTTGTACACATGCAGCAAACAGTTTTTGTAATAGCAACTGTAGCTGAAGCACAAGAACACCCGAGACATTAGGAACAATGCGCTGGAGTAATTTACACCGTTACACAGGTGTCTGTTGATTAGACCCAAGTCGGTCGGCGCTATACTAACTCAGCTTTTCTTGGGAGTCCGCTCAGCAGCGACTTTTAAAGTTCACATGGAGTGTTGTAAACGAAGTGGAATCTGAAAGTGAAGACACGGCTCAAAGGTGAAATAGGGTCTTTCATCCAGCAGGTGCAGCTAATTAGCTTGATAGAAAGAAACACCTTGAATAAACTACACCGATAAGCTAATCTGGTGAGACTTGGCAATACATGCTTCAGGAACATCTAAACTTGTTTTGACTTGCCTGAGCCATGAAATAAGTCGGTAATGCACACCTTCCTGAATTTGCACTCATTCGGTTTGTTCTACCGGGGTTTACATTTATTCAGTACTTGGCGAGATAGACAGGAATTCAAATGTCTAAAAAAAGGCCTAGCTGTTTGGTGTGCTGTCTGTTTGGTTAACAATTGGCAAGTTAAAGGTAGCTAAGGGAATTATTATTATTATTAATTATTGTTTTGGTCTTCTTTTTTTTTTTTTTTAGTTGCTTCAGTCATTTACTGCAATGTGTTTGCCAGGGGTGTGTCCAGAAGCAGGGCATGGGGTGGCACTGCTTCTCCCAAAAAGGAACAATTTCTGTCATGCTTGTTTCTTTGCCTCTATTCTACTATATATTGCATTAAAATATTATTATTTTTTATTTAGCTTCTAATCACATTGTTTTAAATCATGCTACTCAACAACATATAGGAAATTAAAACCATCAGCTGCATCATTAAAGTGATATAGAGTACACATTACTGAACTGGTAATCATGACATCCTCTACTTAGGATGAATTACAGATACTAGTGTTTAAAAAAAATGCACCAGTAAAACTTCAAGAACTGGTTCATTTTATTTACTCAAGTAAAAGTGGAAAATGAGCAGGTTCTGAAATGTACTCTAGAAAAGTTTAAAAAGTAGCTCTTTGGAGGATGTTTCTACTACCTATTTAACTCTAGTATCTATTTTTATGCAAAGCAAACTGAATTTTGTGCTATATTAATGTCACGTAAAAATAATATTAGTAGACAGGAATACAAATATGATTTCTGTCTAAATTGTAATTCTAATAAAGGTACTCAACTTGAGACAGGTAAGGAGAACATGAGCAGAGAAAAGGAAGGAGAAAAAAAAATAGCTCCATTTTCTGTTGCCTGCATTGTAGAGGGTGACTTTCCCTCTAAACAAGAAAATGAGTAGGATACAGGTTAAAGTGGGATTCAGCAGGTGGGGGAACCCTAAAATCAGCTGAAATGGCCCAACATCGGAACAAGAATCACAACTCACAATAATTTTTTATCGAGAGGTCAAGTAGATTTTCTTAATGTACCTGCTGTGATCAGTTGATTGGGGATACTGCAGCTCTGAGGTTTACTGATCTTTGTGGATATACACTGAATTTAATACGATGTCAGCAGGTGTTTCATGAGTTGTCCTGATTAATCTCCATCCTCTACACTGACAGTATGCTGTTTATGCTGTCTTTATACTCTAGGGTATACAGTTGGCATGAAAGGTGGAATTCAGCTAATGAATCTAAGCATCATCATCATTTAACTAAATTAATCTCTGGTGCCCTTTAAACCATGCCTCATTTTGATTTGCTGCATGTTTCACAATATGAAAACCCCCCATAATACCACAAAAACATGAGGACTTGCATGCAAGCTTTACATTTCCATTGATCAAACACAACTGAGAAGTTCTTACCTTTAAATCTAACTTCTCTTCTTCCTCTCCTGTCCTGTCTTTTTTATCTTTCTCCATTTCTGAGTGAAGTTCACTCTCTTTCTTTTCTCTCACTATGGAAAAAAAGGATAAGGCCTACACTGTTGTCTCAAAGTTGCTCTTGTAATGTAGTTTTCAATCAGCTTTAGTGATATTAAGTATTGGCAAATTCAACAAAATTACTTTCAATAGTGATGCTAGCTTTTTCTAGCTATATCATATCAGATATTTCTAAAAACCAAGCTGTTAAACTTAGCATGTTTTTTCTTTCTTTTCTTTTTTTAGTGTACTAGTCTATTTCATGCTCAAATAGTTTGAAATGTAAGCACTTTGTGATCGTTCATGTACATCTTCTCTCTCCCTTGGTCTCTGTTTTGTCCTGTTTCTGGTCATGGCAGATGGTTACCCCCTACCTGAGCCTGAATCTACTGGAGGTTTCTTCCTGTTAAAAGTAGTTTTTCCTTCTATTCTCACCAAGTGTTTGCTCATGAGGGATTGTTTGACTGTTGGGGTTTTCTCCAGAATACTCTGGTCTTTACTTTACAGTATAAAGATGACACTCGCTGTGATTTGGCGTTATGTGAAAAAACCTGATGTGTATTCAACCGAAGCACAGTGTGTGTTTAGGTTAAAGTGTAACAGAGTAATACAACAACATACATTGCATCGCTATACTGCTGTCTGGTAAGAAATCTCCCATCATGCTCAGAGTATAGAGCTTTGCCTCTTGTGTCCTCCATGTTTAGTCTCGCTCTCTGCTTTCCCTCTGTCTAAATAAAGAATAAAACAGCCAAAGGTGAGCTGACTGCCCACTCTGCTGCTGAAGGTTCTCACTTCAGTGTTTTTGAGAACCTGCCAAAAGCCACTTGTGGTTGTGTGCACTGACATTGCAGTAATGTTTAAGTTCATTCAAACACTTATTACATAACTCCACTGCTGCTTAAAGGTGTTGTATGCTCTCTATAACCAGTTTGTATTTGACTGGGATACGCTACAATAATTATTCTAAATCTTTTAGGTTTTTTAATATATAGTGCACCAGTATTGATGTTTGCTTGATATTTATATTTTACAGGTCATGGGATCAACTTCAGGTCCTCATGCCATCGGAGAAGGCCTTTACTTCAGTGACGGCCGACGGAAAGTCGACTATGTTCTGGTCTTTCATCAGCGAAGGCACACCTCGATACGATCTCCTGCTAGTGCCTCCGTTTCACAAGACCGGTTATCTATTGTTTCTAATGGCAACTTTCCTTCAATGGCGGCCTCAGATGTGGCACCAGGTGGAAGTGGTGGTGGTGGTGGTGGAGGCGGCGGCGGCGGCATTCCAGGAGGAGAGGGTGCGGGCGCCAGCGAGGTGTTCATGGAGCTTGGCGGAGCAGGAGATGGCGAGCCAATGGAGCCCGGTGACCATGAGATGCGTCTAATCAGGCAGGAGTTTGAGGCTAACCTACTAGAGGCTGGTTTGGAGATTGAGAGAGACAGAGAGGTGAGTGTGTGTATGGTCATGTTAAGCTTCTTTTATTCTCATTTGCACAACACTGGCTAAATTTAATGCAGCTGACAGGTAGGCTTTAACAGACACTTTCCAAAGACATGTAGTTAGTGGGATCAGGTTAAATGGTCATTCTAAATGGTGTCAGTTGGCGACCTGTCCAGGGGGTACCCCACCTCTCGTCCTATGGTAGTTGGAATAGGCCCCAGCCCCCCTGTGACTCTGATGAGGATAAGCGAAAGTGGAACTGAAAGTGGTATTTTAACAAAGTGGAAGGAAGCAATTGGGAACAACAGCAACTAAGCCACTAAGTGGTAGAACACGTAAAATCGCAGAGCTAGGTCAGCCAATGCTGAGGTGAATAGTGCGCAGAGTTCAGGTATATTTAAAAACCATTAGTTTTCATGAAGGCTTGGAAAAAACAAAAGCTTTGTTTTTTATTTTATTTTATTATTATTTATTTATTTATTTTTATCCCAAATCCTTGAGAAATAAATGGGATTATAATTTGACACACTAGACTCTGTGTTTTTGAACACAGGCTAAATTCTATAGCTTCACTGACTTCACAGGCTTTTTGAAGTTGAACCTCTACACAGGATCTGACGTAACACTATCTTGAGCTATTTAAGGTGAGCGCCTACATAGGAGCCTGGCTCAGATAGTAGAAGGAGGTGGGAGAGACTGTGTAACAACAGCAGTTGTACTTTGCTCTAGCAAAATGCTTGTCTTGAGGTTTCTGCTGATTGTACCAAAGTGTTCAACCTTCTTTAATCATCCTGCTGCTGTGGGACAAAACAACAGAAAACCTACATGAGTCATCCCAATTTAGGGCAGCTGCAAAGTGGGTTTGTCTTTAGGGGCTTTAAGTTGGTGATTATATTTTAGCCTAAACCATATTACGATATCGCCAGTTTCTGTCTACTTATGTGAAATTATGAAACTTTATTCCTCTACATAAAATAAATATTTTCATAGGTACTGGTTTAGACACCCCATGACTCAGGGGTTGGCAATCTCAGTCCACGAGGGCCGGTGTCCCTGCAGGTTTTAGATCTCACCTTGGGTCAACACATCTGAATCACATGATTAGTTCGTTACCAGGCCTCTGGAGAACTTCAGGACATGTTGAGGAGCTAATTTAGCCATTTAAATCAGCTGTGTTGGTTCGAGGACACATCTAAAACCTGCAGGGACACCAGCCCTCGTGGACTGAGATTGCCCACCCCTGTACTATGGGCTCCTGAGGTGTGGGGAGGGTAAAAAAAAAAGGGTACAAGGAATTTGCCACTTGAATAAACACACATCAAAATAGAGATGCTTTACAAAATGGAAAGTCAGAATAAATGTCAGCATTGTGGGAAACATGGACAAAATTCTTCACTGAAGTTCACCAATAAAAACAAACAAAAACCTCTAGAACTTAAAGCAGTTTCACAGAAACTTCAGTAACATTGTGGTTTTAGAGAATGGCGGCTTTCTGTGTCAGAAATGGCTTGTATCCAAGGGCAACCCACTGATGCATAACTTGGTGCAAGCTGCACCAAACCTGCAAACCTGAGTGATGGGAGAAAAAAGTCAAGCCTGAGTCATTCAGCCTTCTGCCTTCATCCGTAAATGCCTGCAGAAAGGAAACCTTTAACTGTCAGTGTTTTCTACCATTATAGATGGATCTGTGTCTACTGTGTCTACTAAAAACACAGAGATTGCTCACTGTTGAGCATGGGGTGGAATATAGCCAAATTAGCAGCTCAACAAGTTGAATTTGGTGTGTGCACATTCTACAGCGTTCCCGTACACTGGGCTATGTCTATTTACCACAAGTGATTTCATCACGTCAGATGTTTTGCGACGCACCTTTTGCCGCAAGACTTTTGCAAAGTCTTACCTTGTGACTTACCTTTGCTGCCGTTTTCTGGTTACTGGCAGTCTAAATTTTAATTGTTATTTATTGTAATTTAACATATCAGCAACTTGATGCACTGAGGCAGGTAGACCAAACTGAGCATGGGGAAGAAGTGACTTTGAGCATGGCATGGTTGTTGGAAATGGTTGTTTGCGTTGGTGGACCTCTTGCTAAAACCCAGGTATGCATAATCTGTGAATGCACAACATGTCAAACTTTGGAAACTGATGGGCTGAAGGAGCAGAAAACTGCATTGGCTGCCACTTTTGCTGTCTAAGGCCAGGAAACGGTACCTGTTATGATGAGTTTCAATTACTGCTGTGACATTTTGATCTGAATTTGGCACAAATGAAATGAGGCATGGATCCATTGTTTAGGCTAATGGTGGTGGTGTTTTGATATGGGGGTGTAGTTTCTTGGCAGACCTTAGTACCAACTGAGCATCAAAGCTCAAATGATCTCAAACTAGTTTCTTGAACATTGTACTTAAATGGCTTCCAGAGTCACAGCTCTCAATCCCGCAGAGCACCTTTAGGAAATGGTGGATCATAGATTATGGATATGCAGCAAATCTGCAACAACTGTCCATCCATCCATCCATTCGCTTCCGCTTATCCTTTTCAGGGTCGCGGGGGAGCCTATCCCAGCTGTCATAGGGCGAGAGGCGGGGTACACCCTGGACAGGTCGCCAGTCTGTCGCAGGGCCAACACACAGGGACAGACAACCATTCGCACTCACATTCACTCGCACATTCACACCTAGTGGCAATTTGGATTTTCCAATTAACCTATCCCCACAAGCTGCATGTCTTTGGACGGTGGGAGGAAGCCGGAGTACCCGGAGGGAACGCACGCAAACACGGGGAGAACATGCAAACTCCACACAGAAAGACCCCGGCCTGATGTTGGAATTGAACTCAGGACCTTCTTGCTGTGCGGCAACAGTGCTAGCCACCGTGCTGCCTTAAAACACCTTGTTGAACCATGAAAAACAAAGAAAGTTCTGATGGCAAAAGGGTGCCCAAGCTGGGTAAAAGCAGGGTGTACCTAATAAAATGTCCAGTTAGTGCAGATCCTGTTTGTTTTGAGTCAGCATCCACAGTGGCCTTGATGTTTCATCGGTGCTAAAAGCCTTTAATTCTGGTCACTTTAGCTGACACAGCTGCTGCTCTGACCTCTGCATCGATTTCCTAATTTGGCCTAAAACGGCTAATTTTGTTTTGACACGCACAAATCATTTTCGCTGTCATTGTGTGTTACTGGCGCTAGCTTGTGTGGCTCTGTCCTGCTTTTGTTGTTTGTGCGTGTGTGTGTGTGCGCGCGCGTGCATGCATGCTTATGCGTGGCACTTGGCACAACACACGGCCTATGTGCTCTGCCTGCTTGTGGTAATGATGCTCCAGGCTTACTGCCACGAAGTTGTACAAATGCAGTTTTTGTTAAACTTCCGTTTGTCAGTTAATGAGCTTCTGCTGCACTTTGGCTTCAACAAGAGGATTAAATTGTTAAATTTAAGCGATGCTTACTTGTTTCGCTCGTAAAGTAAAAAAACAAAAGATTTTTTTTTTGTTTGTTTTAAAACACAGCACAAGGCAAAAACAGCATAAAAGTCTCATGTACTCTAAAATGTTTAAGAAATAATAGTGTACTGTAGTGTCTAACTTACCAGTGCAGGGCTTGTCGTGTGTATGATACCCATTTTGCTGTGTGTGTGCGCGCGTGTGTGTTGGCTGGCAGCCAGTTGGCAGTGTGTGGAGTCTGCAGGCTAGTATTAATCAGATTGTTGACAGTGTGGCAATGGAGCCTAAGCCTGGATGAGATTAACTGACTGACTGATAGCTTTTTATCTCGTCTCACAGATCTAGGGCTAAAATCTGCCACCGAGAGAAACAAACATCCCAATATCCTTAATTTGAACAAAGTGGGAAGCACTCTGACAAACATAACTGCTCTCCTTCCATCATTGTATAGGCCGCAATGGGTGAGAAGCAGCCTTACAGATATAATAAGTCATGTACCAAAAATCAATTTTCCACTGTACTCTGTGTGCACATAATCGGGTGAAGCTGTTCAACATTAATCATAGTTAATCAAGTGCATACAACAGAAGTACAAACTGCACCTCTAACTTAAAATAAAGCAGGTAATTAACGGATGGCCTGCTGGCGTATGTTGGTAGTTAAATGTTTTCCAAAGGCTTTGGAAGACATTTTTATTTTTGAGAGATTAGGGTCAGTGTAAGTGTCTCACTCGACATGGGTAATGATAAATGTCAAATGTCATTTTGCTTGAAATGTTTTAGCATTTTGAAGTTGGTAACATTAGTCTTTTTTCCCCCAGTGAGAATCTGATGCGTTTTAAAATGTTACTTTATTTACATCTAAAAGCTTTCTATCTAACATTTGAACGCATTCACAGTCTGATTAACGCATCAGAAGCAACTCACGGCTTAGTATCTTACGCAAGGGTACTTTGGCATGCAGACTGGAGCAATCAGGGATTGAACCAGCAACTCTGAGATTAGTAGATGGCCTATCTACCTGAGCTACAGCTATTCTTGAGTGAGGTAGAAGGAATAGTTTTTGCTGTTCTGTTTTAAAGATATATACATTGAGCATCACCAGTAGCAAAGTATACTTTTTATATAATAAAAAAGATGATCCTTATTGTGCCCAACCTGTTTGACTTCAGATTAACTTGATGCTGGTAAAGAAGAGTGACTCAAATGTCAAACTTGTTGATTGTGTCTCAGGATTATTGCGCTGACCTTTGATCTCTTAGGGACATCCTCTTAGAGAACATGCTTAATTAAATCAGAGCGAGATTTTAATTGAAGAAGTAGAGCTGGGACTTGTCAAGATTTCAGTCCATGGGGTTTTTAGAAACATTTTAAACACTTAAATGTTATGTTAGTGTTTTTAGATGAAGGCATAGGAACATTAATAATCAGAAAAAATAAGTATGTTCCACTCGTCTTCTAAAACATATTTGTGTTGCTGTGGACTCCATGCTAGGATTCATCCGGCATCTTGCCTTAGTTTTAATTAACCAAATGAATAACAGCTCTATACTTGTGCTAAACATGCAA